GAAAGACTTCGTCTTATCCGCCTCCTCAGTCTGTTTTAAATCTCAAAGGCGTCAAGTTTCCAATGACATTGCGGCAAATTGCCAGATTCGAAGGTCAAAATAATGTGTCGGTGAATGTCTACACGCTGCGGAAAAAATCATCAAATAGATTCCAAGTTGTTCCTGCTTATCTGACCAAAGATAAAAAAGTCAAACACGTGAACCCACTACAGGTACAAAGTGAGTATTTTACGGAAAAGGACCACATCGATTTTACGCGCGTTACGTACCATTATGTATGGATCAAAAGTATTTCTCGACTTTTGCCATTCCAACTTTCAAAAGCTCATTATAGAAAATATTTTTGTGAGCGTTGCTTGCATTATTTTTATTCCGAGGACAAGTTAGCGAAGCACGCCAAGGATTGCGAGAAGAGAAACAAAAATTTGGAAATTCCTAGGGATCCTGAAGAATTTTGTGCAATTCAAGGACTTTAATTATAAAGAGAAGGTTCCCTTTATTATTTATGCCGACACGGAATGTTTTTTGGTTCCCGAGTGTGATAATTCCAAGTCCAACACCTAGAAATATCAGCGCCATGTTCCGTACTCTCTGGGCTATTATTTTAAATGTTCATATGACGACTCCCTTTCATATTATCGTTCGTACACGGTCGAGGATTGTGCGGAATGGTTCTGTAAGAAGATGGAGCAATTAGCTGAGAACATTAAGACGGTATTCTTGTATGATTTACCAATGGATGAACTAACAGCTGGCCAGAAAATGGAATTTTACAAGTCTTCCCTGTGTCACATATGCGAGAAGCCCTTTGAAAAAGACGACAAAAAAGTTCGTCACTTGACTGGGAAATACAGACCACCCGCACACGAATATTGTAATCTTCAACTTAGGAACAAACACACCGATCCTGTAGTGTTTCATAACCTTTCCTCGTATGACGGAAACATAATTTTAAAAGCTCTTGCCGAATGTGATGGATCGATCGACTTGCTGCCCGTAAATAAGGAAAAGTATGTTTCCTTTACGTGGCACCTTAATGAGAACCTGGTGAAATTCCGATTTATGGCCAGCGGCCTGGATAAGTTGGCTGCCAATTTGACGGAATATCGGATACTGGGACGCGAATTTAGTGAATTGCCGGAGGAGCAATCCAATATGTTGAAACGAAAAGGTGTCTTCCCCTACGATTATATGAATGGATGGAATATTTTGGAAGAAACTGCTTTACCCCCTATTTCTGCATTCTATAACATATTGGATGATAATCCGTTGACCACAAAAGATCACAAACGAGCTCAGGAAGTTTGGGAGAAGCCTGGATGTCGAAATTTGCAGGATTATTCGGAACTTTATATGAAGACGAACATTCTGCTCTTGGCAGACGTTTTTGAGAAACTTCACATAAGACCTACGGACTTGATCCTGCATATGCATACACACTGCCGGGATACGCGTGGACCTGCATGTTGTATAAATTGAAGAAAAAACTCAATCTACCCGCAGACGTCGGCATGATTTTGTTTATCGAAAAAGGTATGCGAGGAGGCCTTAGTCAGTGCTCCAAACGATACGCAGAAGCCAACAACAAATATATGCATACCTACGATCCCTCCAAAGTTGATAAATATTTGATGTATTTCGACATCAATAACCAATACGGGTGGGCAATGTCTCAATATTTACAGCACGGAGGTTTTAATTGGTTGGATGAACAACAAATCGAAAATCCTGACATTTTAAATATATCCGACGAATCGGAAGTCGGCTACATCTTGGAGGTCAATTTGGAAATACTGGAGGAGTTGCACGACCAATTTGCGGATTTACCTCCATATCCCGAACATCGCTGCCCTCCAGGATCCGAAAATCAAAAATTAATGACCACCTTATATGATAAGCAGGATTATGTCATTCATTATCGTAACCTAAAACAGGCGCTACAACTGGGAGCCAAGTTAAGAAAAGTACATCGAGCCATCTCGTTTAACCAGTCGCCTTGGTTACAAGCCTATATCGACCTAAACATTGCACTACGCCCGGCTGCTAAAAACGAGTTTGAAAAGAACTTGTTTAAATTGATGATCAATGCTGCGTTTGCGAAAACAATGGAAAACATACGGAACTATTCCAACGTTAAGCTAGTGACCAACTGGGAAGGTCGCTATGGTGCGGAAACTCTGATTGCCCGACCAGAATTTAAAGGTGTAACTATAATTAATAAAAATATCGTTCTTATCGAATTAAAAAAATCTTAAATATATTTTAACAAGCCTGTCTATGTTGGGATGTCAATTATGGAGATTGCCAAGACAACAATTTATGACTTCCATTACAACTACATTCAAGAAAGATTTTCCAATGCTCGAGTTTTATATACCGACACGTATACGAGATATTATCCATAGACCCATACGAGATTTTAAAAAAGGTTTGTTTCCGGTATTTTGATACTTCTGACTATCGTAGGATAATCCGTACGATATACCCAGAGTCAATAAAAAGGTTTTGGGTCTGATGAAGGATGAGAATAATGGGCGAATTATGCCTCATTTTATCGGACTTAGAGCTAAGATGTACGCCACGAAGTTATATAAAACACCCAAGGAAGAAGAGGCCGCAAAGCAAGAATTGATGGCCGCAGAAACAAATCGCGAAACATTTGAACGCGAATTTAAAGACTTGGGTGTAACGAAGAGGATCAAAGGATTAAAAAAATCCGTCATCAAAACTAAGATAACTTTTGAAGATTTCGTCGATTGTTTGCAAAATTTCTCTGAAAAAAAAATATCGCAGAATTTAATAAGAGCGACTAAACTGAATTTGCACACAGTATCCCAAAAGAAGATCGGATTAAGTCTCTGCGATGATAAACGTCGTATATCAAAGTCATCAGTAGGAAACGTTGCCGTGCGGCCACTATTCAATTATGGAAGAAAAAAATGTCTCCGCCTGTTTGTAAATGTGTTTTATTAGTTTTGCTTTGAAATTTCGTTTTTTCATAAAAATCGAATGATGTGCGCTGAAGGGCTCAGTTCACGTCTGGCAGCCTCGTTAAGTTTTTATTTTAAAAATGCATGAAATATTTTGATCTTTTTCATTATATTTTGGGCATATTTTAGAATAAAAATGACCGGAAGTCCTTAATATTTTTCGCTTATTACCTCCCACTACTTTTATTATATTTTCCACTGTCAATAAAGGATGTTTAATGTATTAATAAATATTTGGACTCCTGTTAATTTGGTTTTCAATTTTGCAACTTACCAGTACCTATAGTTTTGTGTGCGTGTCTACCGTTAATAGCAAACCGACGATCGATTTACAAATGCTATTGGATTCAATTTTTTATATATTCAGCTTTATCTCAAACTAATTTGCGATGTCAATGCCTCGTAACCGCAGATAAGCGACTACGGTGCGGCGATATTCTAGTGCGCGGATGGATAGCCTTTGATTTTAAGGCGCAAAATATATTTGCGTGTGCGATCAGTAATTTTGGTTGTGTATTTTTTACCTAATTATGTCATGTGTTTTATGAAATTCTACGGGTCTGCGAGATCTGTTTTTAGGTCATACTCTGTCCGCTGTGTACTGCTAAGATTGGACGGGTCCCAGGTTCCAATCCTCGGTAGCGAAAAAAAAGATGAGTAATCATTCTGACTACCTAACGCACAATTACCCATTAATTTTAATATGCGTGTTAGGCGTTAAAGTCGGCGCTTACCACTGGACGGGTCCCGGATTCGATCCTCGGTAGCAAAAAAAAAAAGGTGAGTCATCAATATCAGCCCGGTGACGTCATTATTCTGAATATCTAACACACAATTACCCATCGGTTTTAATAAGGCCGTTTGAGGCCGTTGGTGGTGAGTTTTGAGGGTTGGGGGTTCGGGGTGAGGGTGGGGGTTGGGGTAGGGGTGGGGGTTGGGGTGAGGGTGGGGGTTGGGGGTGAGGGTATGAATCGAAGGACCTTGAGCGGATCAATTTCCGCTAATAAATAATTTTTCTTATGGGAATTTACATGTAAAAATGAGAAAATTTATTCTAGAACGCACATAGCCTATCTACTATTTTGCTTTCAATGCTTCAATGTCATCTAGGGTAGGAAGTTTATCTTGACATTTATAAGCCTCCCACTCCTTATACGGCTATCAAATTTACTAAAAAACAAATAGATTAACAGAATTGACCATTGCCAGGTTGACTTAATGCTTCGAAACTAAATGCTTCTGTTAAATGTATCGAGAAATTGCACCGAAATATTCGGCTTCAAATAGTATATTCGGCAATATCATTCTGATATTGTAAAAATTCATCAAATAGTGGCTGCGCCTTTTCTAATCTCGAATTTATTTCATTTAATTTGTGTTTGTCAATAGCTTGGTGATCTACAACGTCAAGAAATTTTGTGAATCCTGTCAAGCTAGACTTTACTTGCCTGCACGTAATTCTCGATTTATTTAACTCCTCCGTAGTTCAACTTGGTTATTTTAAATTGTGACTACCGTGTTAGGATTTTAATTGAAGATAATATTTAGAACAATCTCCGGATACTTGGTAGTCACTCTTAAATTATGAAGCATTGGTTCAGCAGAATGTAACTTCGTTCGAAAAAAAAAGAGAAAAGCATAGTACATATTCTTCGACGCCGGTCATTCAGTTTCCTTTAAAATTTACATGACGATTGAGAACGAGAGAACTATAATAATGAGGAGAGAGTTCTTTAGATGTATTTTTTGTTGCGCTTTATATCAGACTGTCCGGGCCTCAAGCGGTGAGCTATTTAAATTATCACGCGCTTGGAAACAAAATACAATGAGACTCACTATGCTTCACTATTATACTGACATGTTTTCTAGGTCCGCACTCTAAATTCTGAATGATATTATTATCAAAGTAATCGTACATCTGAGTAAACAATACATTACAAAAACGAGGTCCAATCCTCTAACTTTTGTAGTTGAATAATTTTTAAATAGATATCGTTTCGACACTTTTAGTTTGAACTCGCACACGGGGTGGATAGCACTGTGCAGTACCGTGCGTTTCTCAGCAAATGATTCTTACTTTAAGTACATTTTGGATGAGTATGTGAATTCTGACGACGACCATTGGCAAGAGGTCTTAATATCGAAAATGACCTGCACGGAAGACACCACCACTGTTAAACTGTAAGGAACAATTATACTGTAATTCTATGAACTTACGTCTAATCGAGGCAATTACGAAAGAGTCATTGTTACCGCACCTTCCCTTGTAAAGAGAACTCGAACAGACAAGGTTTCCGGTGAACGCGCATCAAAACCGAAATTTTCTTTCAAAAATCAAATTTTCCAATGACTAGTACAAAAATTACCACATCCAGCTACATTTATTATTTTATTTATTTGTTAGAGGAATTCAAATCTTTTTTGTGTAATGCTGTTTGCTGCATCTCTTCAGGAAAAGTGATTGGGAGTGTTCGAACATTTTCTTAAATTAATGTGTTCAAAAATGCTTTACTCATTTTAATGAACATTGAGTGGTTAAATACGGCTTTTTCTAGGCAAAACCATATCAAAAAAAGAATAAATGCGATTTATTTAAGTTATTAGATCATCCAATAAGGACGTAGCAACCTAGTGAAAACCACATAACTTAATTTTGAGATAAAATTCTAATTTATGGGTTGTTATTAATGTCTGATCATAGCCAATTTCCTAGATAAAACCCTAATTTAATGTTTAGGATGCCCAATGTTATTTAAATTCGAAATAAAACGTTACTATAAATGTTTATTACTTTTTTCTCCGTAACTGTCATTTAGTGTTACCACTTATTTTTTCACATTTTGATGCTTGACATTTCTTGAATCGACGGGTTAGAAATGAGAATAATTTTTTCAATAATTTCAATACCTGACCTTACCATTTAAAAAGTTTAATAACAAGTAAAATTGGTTATTCCTCAACAAATGATTAGTTTTGGTTGGTTTACTAAAGCTAATTCTTAATGGAACAATAAGTGATACTAGAAAATATTTTAAAACTGTTAAGCAACTCAATATGTAGGTGGGGGTGTGTAAAATAGAAATAAAAATATATTATATTAGGACGAAACAAATGTTTATTAAAAATTAATATTAAAATCCACTCTATTTGAAATATTGTCCACCATTTTCCACGTCGCAGAATGCTGCTCTTTAGATGCGATCTATGAATTCACCCATTTTTCGCAATCTTCATAACCAGTGAACTTTTGCTCAGACCTTTCATGAGCCATTGATATCAACAAATAGTAATCACTGGGTGCAGCATCTGGAGCGTACGGCGGGTAGCGTAGGACGTCCGATTTCAGCGTTTTAAGGTATGTTTTGACTGGTTTCGAGACTTGCAGACGAGCATTGCCATGTAAAAAAAATATTTGTCATGTCGTTTGTCATATTCTGGCCGTTTTATTTTTAATTCAGGCGCATCATTTGTGGTCAATAATTTGCTCCTGTATTGGTTTTCTTTGGTTCTAACAGCTCGTAATAAATCACAGTCACTTGATGCCACTAAATTCATCGCAGGTGCTGAGATCCGTGGATATTTGTCTCGCCACTGATCTTGGTAGACACCAGGCTTTACCCAAGGCTTTCTTTCTTCAGGATTATCATAATAAATCCACTCTTCGTCTCCTTTGACGACCTGTTGCAAAAATCTTTTTCTTTTTTCCCACTGCAGCAGTAATATGGGACACAATATCCCTTCTTGTGAATAATTCCTAATTTTTTTGAATGTTTTTTTTCGACGTTTGAAAGGTCAACTTCTAGTGAAGTTGACAATTCTTGATGACATGAATCTTAATTTTTTTCGTTTTATTTCTTCTATATCAAAATTACCATTTTTATATCTACCATAATATGACGACTTTTCAAGGACTTCTAATTCTCGGCAAAAACACTTTCCGACACAAATTCCGGCATATTAAAAAAAAAACAACATTGTTGTCGTTTATGTTTTGAAAAACAATTACGTACAAAAAATGATGTCAAATAGCAGTTATTTTCAAGTGAAATTACTTGTGATCTTTATTTTGCTATCAATTAACATAAAAAAACATATCGTTGCGTTCATTCTTTTCTCATAATTTTTTTGCGATTATATCAGAGACCTCCACCTGATGGCAAGGTAAGAAATCACAATCACGTCACTCCAAGTTGCATTATTTTTGCAGAAAGTTCAATTTCCTATAAAAATTATTAATAAAATTTGTTTAATGATCTTTTTATATATACTGACTAAATCGTAAATGCAAAATTATAATGAGGATAATCTTTCCATTTCTAGAGGTAACAACAAACTAGTTTTTGTGTGTCAGATCCAAAAAAAGGATTCGTTGTTTTTATCCATCCTACTGACCACTTTCTTTGCCGTGAGAGAGCAAATAGCGTTAAACAAAAATATTTGATTTTTTTTCAGCTTTAAGATAGTACCCACTCTTAACATTAGAAGTTTTTACAAAAACAGAGTATTAAAATGCAGAGTGATTTATTTAAAATTACTTTAAATAGGATATTTTCTTTAACATGTCACTTACGAAAAATAAATGGCTGAAAACCCTGAAACCCTGAAAAAATGTTTGTCATTGAAAACATTATCAAGATAGATTGAACCTTGCGTTACACTTATAAGATGCCTTCCTGGTTCGGTTTTCTAACACCCTGTATACATGCTTGATCTGAGCTTTTAAGAAATATGTTTATTCCCGTTTACATTTTTTAAAAGTTTGTTGAAGCCAACCATCTCAAAATCGCCACTTGAACTTGGAATTAACACAGTAAAATGATTTTGCTTTCTAGTATGCTGAACTGGACACTGAGTGGCTCATCGATGTTAAAATCTACAAATCATGGCCTCCAAATTTACAGAAATCTAATACTATATTCAGCAGAGAACTATGCACAGACGCAACACTTTTTCTTGGAGAACATTGAAGAGATTCTCAAAATGTAAGTCATAAATATTGTTGGCTAACTAAAAATATTATACAGTGCTCAAATAATGCAGTATTCCCTACCTTAGAAACACGAATTTCTAGCTTTAATAATGTTGAATTATTTTTTATGAAGAATTGAATGTTGCAACTGCTTTGGTATCAGATAAAACCGTACCTCCATAGTCTGTCTCTTGACGAGCACAATTTTTTTCAACCATTTTATTTGTATTAAGTGTTGCATCTAAGAAAAGCTTTTAAATTGATTTGCTTTTAGCAATGCAGTAACGATTACCCCATTAAAAAAGATGTTTGTTGAGGTTTCAACTCTAAAACCGTAGCCCTAAAATAATTCACAAAAACATTTAACAGAAGCCGATCTAATTTTTTGGTATGTTAAAAAGCTGGAGAAGTTGAACAGTGTGTGCCAATAATGTTTTAAAGGAGTCTTTGCTCACTTAAATCACAATTATTGACTTCAAAAAAATTAAAAAATTGAGCTAAATAACCCTGGTTACTTTTTACAGGTTATTTAAAGTAGATTTGATGTGGTAATTACTCAATGTTGTCGATCATAGAAGTAGGTTTTTTCCGTGATCACAGGGCTGAATGGATATTGTATAAATTTATACACGCCGATAAGACTGCGAGTATAAATTTTCCCAGTATCCGAGATTTTTATTTTTTATTTTTATTTTATTAACTACATTGACAATATTGTTCCCTCTGGCTAGAACCGCAAGTATGTGTCATTTGTGACAACTGACTAAGAATGCACCTATCAAAAAAAAACTTCTCCTCTTGTTTGTATTGAAAAAAAAAAAAAGATGACATATCTAAAATTGTTTCTTAAAATTGTTTCTAAAAAGTTTCTTATTTAGGGTCTCTGTCTTCAAAGAAAAATTTAGTTGTATGTGGACGCTAATTATGACTTTTTCCCTAGTCTCGCCTTAAAAATGAGTAGGAATAGGGTGAAAACTTTAACATTCATCGAAAATAAAAATTTAAAGTCTGTTGGAAAACGACCATCTCCTTCCTTTTCATTCTATTTAAGAATAACTGACCTTTGGTGGTTAGTCTATTTGGATATAAGGATGTCGTCCGCCAGCAATTCTTCTTCTTTTTTTCAATAAACTAGCTATTATTAAAAATGAGTAACTAGTTACTCTTACACGGTCTGACACGTCTATCTGGTTTACGTTTTGCACGTAAAATTATAATTGATCATAAACCTCAAAATATCCCAATGTATATAAAACGTAGGTGATTTCAAAACTTCGCTGTCTTTAAAGATACACGACGCACATCGGCTGCTAAATCCGCACAGAACACATGAATTCCTATGCATACGATCAATTAATGCTTACAAAAAAATATAGGTTAATTTTATCGAAGGGTGCTGCAACCCGCATTCAAAAGAATATTTTTTGTTAACCCGTGAGTTTTATCGAAGGGTGCTGCAACCCGAATTCAAAAGAATATTTTTTTATTAATCCGTGAGTATCTTTTGAATATTTTGTTGTCATTATCGCCTCCTATTTATTACAGCCACCGGCTAAGGTAAAAGTTGACGTCTTTCAAATCAAATTTATGAATGACAACGTTCAAAACAAAATTCATTTTTTAGCAAAATAGGCAAGGTTTACCCCTGATGATGGGAATAAAACTGATTATAAGTTGACTGAATTCACTGTGCAATTTGTGCTAACCAGTTGCGAGTGAGCCTTGGGGTAACACACAATTATGGGCCCCTACCCCTAGCCTACTTTACAGATAAGATGGGATATTTTTCATAGCCACATGAGAATCATATAAAAATGTACTTATGGTGATACAAAAATACTTTAAATCTACAGCATCGTGGACCTGGCTTCTGAATTCACGGCCTCAGAGCGGCCCAGAAATGTCCCTAATGGCCCCACCAAATCTTTTTTTGTTGCATTGGTGTAGCAGAAAATATTTGTACTGATTGTTCTCTTTTATGATGTAAAACTTTTCAAAAGGTTGAAATGAAACAAAAATTTTAAGCACAAACATTTTAATAATTATTTCCAAAACAGTATAATATTTTTTCCCTCCACATTTCCTTGTATTTGACATACAATCGACCGTACCCTAGCTGAGCCTCATTCTGTTTCAACTTGTCTTGTTTGGGACTCTCTCTCCCTTTCATCTTTCCTATCGGCCCCCCTGGGTCAACTCTTGGTATTTTCCGACCCCGACGCTATTAGGTTGCGAGGGCTAGGGGTCTCTCCTTTTCACCTATTTATACTTCTATGGCAGATAGGTATAAAATGCGCAAAAAACGGAAATGTCCAACGGAAGGCAGAAGAGTACAGTGCAAGGTTTTGGATGCCTAAGTACTGGTCCAGAACAGGGGTGGTGAAGCAGGCCCCACTGGACCGTCAGCCAGCGACTGCGGCTCACCCTCAGTGGTATTCCAGGCTGAGGAGTGTATTTTGGCTACTGGATACGAAGAGACAAACCCAAAGAAGAGACTCTATTCAAAGAACACCACCGAGACGGAGAACCTTCTCGCTCCCAGACGCTAGTAATCTATTGGCCCACCAAACAGAACACCCTATCACGGAAAATGCAGCTGAAAGAAAGAGACTGGAGGGAACCCCCGATAACCCAACAAGCAAAAATGTGAACAACAAACAAAAGGACCTTATCCACACCTTAGACAAAGTATTCGCACAGGTAAGAACTATGGAGAGATGGAGAGAATAATTAAAGAAGCATATAAACCAAAAAAGGAATACTGTGAAATCAGTGGCAAAATATCCTACTTAACAGAGAAGCTCCGCGCGATGGATCCAGAAAAATGGTTGCATGAAGTGAGTACAAATACCGAGGCAGAAAAGAAACATCGTCTAGAAAATGAGGAACTGCGAATGGAGGTCAACGCTATGAAAACGGAACAGAATGGCAAACTACAAGAAAGATCAGAGACTATAAAATGTGATGCGTGTGCACGGGCGGAAAAAAGAGCCTTGAGATAACAGCAGCTCCAAAAAGAGGAGACTTTCGAGTAGTACCAGTCCATCAGTGAAGAGGACTGGGAAGAAAACGTATTCTACGATTTGGAAAGTATCCAGGGACCAGCGCACGACACCGCAACGGAGTGGGACCTAATTCTGCAGTGTAATACTAAATTGGCGTCACGCAACAAAGAGATCAATAGAACAATCGACAAATTTGGGGCCAAACCTGGTCTTGTGTCTCAAAACAAGAGAGAAGGTGAGGTTGCCATCATGGTGCACTCCGTGGGCTTTCCTGACGTTAGTGGAAGATTAACGCAGTCCACTAGATGGATATTCTACCCTATCTTGAGCGAAAAATCCACTCAGTCAGAAGTGGGCGACTCGGAGATGTTCGAGGCCCTACGCAGGATCAAAATCCAAGTCATAAAGCAGGATAGAACTAATATAGCGATTTCCGATAACGATGAAATCACCGGAACCATAATGACGCGAATGCTGCAGTTCTTATTTTGCGATACGCCAGTCGACGAGAACAGTACCAGCTAAGCCAGCATATAAAACGCAACAAAGAGACGAACCTGAGGAAACCCAAGGAAGACGCGCTGCTGATAGAAATGAAAGACACCAGCTTTGCGGACCTCCTTAAGACCGTAAAAACGGCTGTAGATCCTAGCTCCATAGGCGTCGACGTTGGTCAACTTAGGAAAACAAGAAACGACCAAGTCTTGTTTACCGTCAATAATGGATCCGATCGAGCTGAACTCCTAAAAAGGGAAATTGGTGAAAAGGTACCCGGTACCACTGCACATTTGCTAAAAAGCAAAAATGTTATCCACGTTAAAGACCTGGACGAAGTTACAACAATTGACGAGATCAAAGAGGCTGTTTCTAAGGCAACAGGCACCAACCCCAGTGATGTAGACGTAAGAGCTCTCAGACCAGCTTACGGAGGCAGGCAAAATGCCACCCTAATTGTAAGCGAGGCGGAAGCAGAAAAACTTATCAATCTTAAGACTATAAAAATTGGCTGGACTAGTTGCCGAATTTACGAAATGCAGAGAGAAGATCAATGCTTCAGATGCTGGGGATTAGGGCATGTCAAGTCGCAATGTAAAGGGCCGGATAGAGCAAAACTATGTCGGAAATGTGGAGACGAGGGTCACAAACCATTCTGCCTCCAATTTAAAGCAGAGGGCCATCAAACCGGCTCCCCTAGATGCCCATCAAAAGTGCAGGCGGTGGCAGCGCCAAAGAAGGCAACCGCACCCAGACAATCATCAGATTCCTCCAAATAAACACCAACAGAAGTCGCGCAGCCCAAGATCTGGCCCTGGCAACCGCGATAGACATGCAAGCAGAAGTGTTGATAGTAAGCGAACCCAACAGAATCGCCGTTCAGAATAGAAAGGACTGGACTAAGGACAACGGTTGCCATAAAAGTCATTGGAAATAACATAGCAATTAAAAGGCAGGGTAGCGGTTCCGGATATTGCTTTATAGAAACGGCAGACGTTACTATCTATAGTTGCTATTTCTCCGAGCAACTGGACGAGGCCCTATTTGAAATCGGCAGGATGGTGCAAGGCAACAACGAAAAGGCTATCATTGCTTGGGACTGTAATGCCAAATCTACGGAGTGGGGTATGACGCATACTGACGCGAGGGGCGAAATGGTCACAAAGTGGATGGCTGCCAACGGCTTGATCACTGTAAACCAGGGAAACACGCCAACGTTTCAAAGTCACGGCTACGGCTCTATTCCTGATCTCACCATAATGACTGAAGGCATCAGGATGAAAATCTTCGAACACTGTTTTCGGAGCGCGAGCATTGAAGATGCCAAGTGAGATTTTGGCGAAACGTCTGCAGGATTCCAGTCGGATGCAAGATTTGCAGGATTCCTGTCGAATGCAGGATTCCAGTCGGAGTTCAACCAGCGAACGGATGATATCCCGGAATATAGTGTCATCATATATATATATATATATATATATATATATATATATATATATATATATATATATATATA